CACACACACACACACACACACACACACACACACACACACATGCACACACCAAGGGATGGTATTAAACTGTAATTATATATATATATATTATGTAACTGTAATATATTCTTCCATAAATACTTACCATGGTAGCAATAAATGCCATCTCCCAACCACCCATCTTGGCATACACATGTCGGAGTTGCGCCTCCAGTATCGCAGTAAGCGTTAACATTACACATGTCAGTGCACTCACCTAAAAATACATTTCCCGGCCTGTGTTTAGTAGTATAATAATCATATTTTAATAACTCTCTACGTGAGCCTCCGTTACCATTGCCGCATACCCACTGCATTAGTCCAAGTAGAATCTCACGTTATCACATCTCTCCACAACAATATAGAATAGCTCTCCGCATGGCTGCCAGGGGCTCGTTGTCAGAAAACATCATGAATAGTTGTGACATCGTGACATTGCGTTTGAAATGAACTGTAGTGTTAAAGTTATGATATTTTAGACGTGTAAGAGCCATAACTATTTTTATTTCTGACAACGGGCCTCCCGATAACACGAGAGTAACCAATAAAAATAGACTTCAACCGATGACTCCAGAATCCCTATAGTCACCAAAAGGAGGGGTATTTGAGTCGAAATATGCACTAGCCATTAGTACCGAATTTCGGCTGGTTTGCGAGAACTAACGGAAGTCACCGCTAAGTGGCTACGGATCAGGTCGTGTACTCAGTAGAGCTCTCACGAAAACGTTCCTAGATTTACCTTTTATCCGAAAGTAAATATCCGAGATTCCAATATTCATTTCCGCTGCGTACGTGTCTAGGACAGAAATCCTGAAGTAGCGAAACTCGGATGGCATTCCGAGAACTGCGATGTAGTGTCGTAAGCTGTAACCAGTGCTATCAAGTAGAGGCAACGGTGTACTGTACCTCCAGGGGCTCGTTAATAGCGTTTTAACAGAAACGTTGAAATTACGGATTCTACCTTCTGAGAATTTAATGCAAATAGCTTCTAAGATTATCGGAGTTATGACGTCGAACACAATCTCCTCGTTTGTGCTGGAATTAGCAATCCACTTGGTCATGTGGTTGTTATCCATGGCATTTTTAATGCAGTGCACCGAGGCGGGACAATTGCTGCCTTGGTTTGCTCCGGCAACCTCGCCCTTGAATTCAGATGTTGCACTCATGGGGATGGAGATGTTAGAGATCCAGTGCGTCGCATCCACGCCTCAATAAAAAAAAGTACGTGTTACACGTTGTGATAAAAACACAACTGAAACATTAAAATAAGTTCATCGGATGCTAAACGATAATGCTGAGGACTTGGAATAGACAGCAGGAGAGGTTCACGGAACCCTCGTCGACACTTCGACATATTGAGATCTATCTTCACAGTAAAAACGGTTAGCTTCATTTAAGATTATAATTCATTTCAGCACCATCATCATATAACCTTATTTTCATTTCATCATATTTTTAATTATATGTGTCCAGGATAACTTCGCTTAACGACGTTTAGACTGCAGTGTTAGCGCGGCAGCCACATATTATCAGAAGTAGATAATAGGGACTATCCCTATTATCTACTTCTGATATTATCAACATTAATCATACTCACGTTAGTAGGTTCTGTAGTGTGAAGTCTTCAGTATTGTGTACATTGATTTATTTGAACACGAGCAATACGATGATAACAGGATTAAAAAACATACAAATATGCTTTGTTTTAGCCTATTTTACTCATTTCAGGTTATATGTTAATATAGTCGAGAGAATGAGAAGCATCACCTTAGCCAGGATGAAAATCAATAAATCATGTTGGCTATGGCGTTTTTAAATAAGCTTTGATATATAAAAATTATTGGAAATTATGTATTTTATTACATTATGCAATTAGAAACGACATGCGTAACCGTGGCAATTTCAATAATTGAAATTAGTAGATATTTAATAGCACGGCATTACTCACCAAAGCTGCCGCAGTAGGCGAATAGCACTATGACCAACTGAAAAAGAATTTTACCGTATTATGTATGATTAGCAAGACGAGAACACCATGCAATTAAGGCAGGAGTGCATAATATAGATTATTATCTAGATATAATTTATATTATGCATTCCTGATTAAAAGGCATGTCCTTTTTTAATCAACCCGACTGTCAATCTACAAAATACGCATAGTAAATAGTTGTGATACATCTCTAAATAAAGTTAACTAAACAGGTTAATGTATGAATGAATGGATACAATTGATGGACTGCGGCAGACGGACGGACGGACAGTTGGTTGGATGGATGGATGGATGGATGGATGGATGGATGGATGGATGGATGGATGGATGGATGGATGGATGGATGGATGGATGGATGGATGGATGGATGGATGGATGGATGGATGGATGGATGGATGGATGGATTGATAGATAGATGGATGACTGGAAGCGCTCCTAATCCCCAGCCGACAGCAGCAGCTGTGATCATCTGCCATGCAGTGGGTGGTGAGTGAAAATGAGATCGAACAGGCGTGCGCTCGTTCATTTACATAACGCAATCCGGCAGGTTACAAATGAATGGCTGAAGGACTGACACACCCACGCCCTGCAGACTAATATCAGACAGTCATATTACGGGGAAAAACTCTTGCAGGCACACGAGCGCACATATGACGGTGTTGTTGTTGGGTGGGCAAGGAAAACGCCGGGAGAGAAGGCGTGCGTTGCGTAGTATCCGTGATAATTGGAAAAGAGTTTGTTGATCGCAAACTACATAATCTGTAATTAGTAGATGCTAATCTCTTTCACACACACACACACGCGCACGCACGCACACACACACACACACACACACACACACACACACACACACACACACACACACACACTACACACACACACACACACACACACACACACACACACACACACACACACACACACACACAC